TAGGGTGCTCAGACGTCCAAACAGGCGTACCTGGTTCGCTCGCCCTGCATGCCGAAAATGGTAAAGCGTCGCATGGTTCCCCGGCTTCTCCAGATGCATGTGAATATTCCGGTCCACTAGATCATTTCAGGCAATGACACGATCTCTCATGTTAGCCGCAAATCTGTTGGGGCGCGCTAAGGATATTCCCCGCCTTTTACACGATCGACAGCTTTGGCGTTCATGTGAGATTCGACATCGTAACAACTTGACTCAGTTGAAATTTGAATAATCAAAAGTTAAATGGACGGAAGATATGTCGTCCGTTGCGTCTGTAGCAGAATTTCTCTTGGAAGCGTAGTAACATGTGAGTGAGAAGAAATTGTATAAATTTTGTAGCATTCACAAGGAAGTTAGCTGGTAGTTTGATCTCTGGGAGACCGATAACGCAATATGTCTACTGCTAAAGAACGTCTAACACTTCTCATTCCTTTCACGGTGGTTGAAACACTGGTAGTTATTGCATCCCGCATGACTACAGAGCGTCCGGCCGCAATCTTTCTCTATGCCCTTGGAGTCAACTTCATCCTTCTGGCAATATGGAGGGTTTTTATATGGCCATTCTTCGTCAATCCCCTGAGGCACTTGCCTACCGTCCGGGTATCAGCTGCTCTTCAACCCTGTATCTATTGAACACCACTAACAAACATCCAATAGGGCCCTCTGATCGGAGCAAAGGTCTTCATGCTCCACCCTCGCGGTAGCATAACCGTAGACTGGCTCCGAACAATCCCAAATGAAGGCCTTATCCACTTCCGCGAAGCCTTAAACTATAGCTTTCTGCTAGCGACCAACCACCGAGCCTTGATGGATGTCTTACACACGAACAGCTACGATTTCGTCAAGCCACCAGGCGGGCGGGAGTTTCTAGCTCGTGGGTTGGGATATGGGCTCATTCTCTCGGAAGGTGACGCCCATCGTGCACAGCGGAAGGCTGTCACTCCTGCATTCACCATAAAGAATATTCGGGCTATGTATCCGCTTATGTGGACGAAGACGCAGCTGTTTTTGAGTCAGCTAGAGAAGGAGATTAGACTTCATCCTGTGCCCGGTGTGCAGCATGCCGAAGTTGCCGGGTTTGTTGAGATTGGCGGATGGGCTAAGTGAGGAATAATCCTTGAACACGATTTGGACCAGATGGCTAACCACAGGGTTGTCATAGTCGATTGACTTTGGATATTATAGGTCCTGCTGCTATTGGCCGGGACTTTCAATCTTTGGAGAATGAGAATGATCCAGTTTCACAGAACTACTCTGCTATCTTGAAGCCATCTGCAGATTTGATTTTGCTTTTTGGTGCCTCGCTGCTACTGCCGCAGTGGCTGGTGAAATTGATTCCTTGCAAGGCTAATATTGTGCTCCCGCGCAATGTGAGATATTTGCGGCAGGTATTTCACGATATTCTTCGTGAAAAGCGCAAGCTGCTTCAATCTGAGAAGAGTGAACAGGAAGCTGCCGACGGCGATATCTTAGGCACCATGATGCGAGGCGGGGAGTTTAGCGACAGCGAGCTGGTGGACCAGATGCTCACATTCCTTGCGGCGGGGGTATGCTCTCTTGTATTGTCACCACCAAATGAGGCCATTGAAAGCTAACAATCGCTACAGCATGAAACTACGGCCGGTGCATTTACCTGGTGTTGCTATCATCTTTGTATAGAGCCACATATCCAGGATAAACTGCGTCAAGAAATCCGCGAGACTATCCCTTCCTCAGCCGCCTCGGTATCCTGGCAAGGCCTCGAAGGAATGCCCTACCTTAATGGGGTTTGCCAAGAAGTACTCCGCCTATATCCCACGGTACCCATGACAGGCCGTGAAGCCATTCGTGAAACAACGATCGCGGGGAAGAAAATACCCAAGGGCACAACTATCGCGCTATGTCCACAGTCAATTAACCGGAGCCCAGAGTTCTGGGGCGAGACCGCTGATCAATTTCTGCCTGAGCGATGGATTGACACTGATCCTGAGACTGGGAAACAGTCCCCGAATAAGCATGGGGGTGCATCGACAAATTTCGCCCAGATAACTTTTCTTCATGGGCCGAGGGCGTGTATTGGGAAGGATTTCGCGAAGGCCGAGTTTCGCTGTGCGGTCGCGGGGCTATTTGGTCTTTTCCAGTGTGAACTAAAAGATCCGAAGCAGAAGATTACCTTTGGAGGGACATTGACTAGTCAACCTATGGAAGGAATGAATTTGAAGTTGACGAAGATAGGGGGACGGGAGTAGTGTGGATGTAAAGGATAAGAGGCATATTATCGTGAATACAATCATTAATCTATACCCTGCCCATCTCAAAATCAAATAATTTCTCTCCAAGATTCAGAGCCACCCAATTTCACGCATTCCCAACCCTCAAAAACAAGCCGAGCGCGCCGAGAGCGCCGATCACCTCCGCACGGGGGATCGTCTCCCCCAGGGTCTGTGACCGTTTAGCGCAAAACAGGGCACAGAGCGTAATCAAACTAGATGATCTACCGATCTCAAACACCGAGGTACATGTATCAATTTTGGGTCACCCCGTGTCATGAGGAGGACCGAGGCAGCCAACCCTCTTGGCCGTTCATGTGGAGACCGTTCGGAAACGAATATAGTATGAATAAGAGGCTCGTCTGCTTTGCGAAATGAACCATTATATCACCACGCTCTGATCGCACTATAATATACCGTTAATACCATGGCTATCGCACCCGATACCTCGACAGGGTACCTCCACAACCTCACCCCCGAACAGGAAGCCAAACTGCGCGAGTTTTGGGTCATTATCTTTAATTCTGTCGCTTCGGTTTTATCTGCTGTCTATGATGTCCCCATCCCCGAGGGTCCCTCGAACAAGCTCTTCGAAGCGTTGGATAAGATCAATGAGCCGACTGTTGAAGCTATTGTCGCCGCGTTGAGGGGGAAAGATGACAATAGTGAATCGACGAACGGAACAGTCCCTGCGGAAACAATTGGCAATACCAACGGCCACACTAACGGCGAGACCAATGGTGAAGCCAATGGACATGGCAACGGTGAGACGAATGGTGAAACAAACGGAGAAAGCAAAGAACAAAAGTCACTTGACAAAGTAGACTCGCTCATGAACAAAGATGCCCGAAAGACCATCAAGTCGGAATTGGCAACGCGAAAGGTCTCCCCGGAGCATTTCGCCACATTATTCGGGCAGCTCCGAAAATTGGGCGCCCAAGAATCAGAGATCAAGTCAATGGAAAGCATTCTGGCTCAAATGACACCCCAGGAAATGTGTTTTGCAATACTGAAAATGGTGAAACAAGAGCATCCTGACAGTCTCTTGTTGCGATTTTTGAGAGCGAGGAAATGGGATGTCGGCAAGGCTTTCAGTATGATGACTTCGACGATCTTGTGGAGAAAAGAGATGGATGTCGATGACGATATTCTGCCTAAGGGCGAGGGATATGCTCTGGAGCAATCTAAGACTAGCAAGTCCGTAAAGGAGAAGAAGGATGGCACTGATTTCATCAACCAGCTCAAGATGGGCAAGAGTTTCCTTCATGGCTTTGATAAACAGGGCCGTCCTGTTAATTATGTCCGAGTGAAGATTCATAAGCCCGGTGCTCAGTCTGAGGAGACGCTCGAGCGTTACATTGTCCATGTCATTGAGTCTACTCGGCTTATTGTGGTTCCTCCAGTTGAAACGGGCGTATGTTTCATACGGTCCAAGTGTATGGTATATGCTGACTGGTTTGCAGACAATTGTCTTTGATATGTCTGGATTTTCTTTGTCCAACATGGTAAGATCTTGACGTCCACTCATGCCCGGAACTTACCGGTGGGTACTGACTACCACAGGAATACTCACCCGTCAAATTTATTATCAAATGCTTCGAGGCCAATTACCCCGAATCACTGGGTCTCCTCCTCATTCACAACGCTCCATGGATCTTCTCCGGTAAGGCCCGGTCTCAACCTTGAGTGCATCAACACTAACATTTTCTGACTCCAGGAATCTGGAGACTCATCCACGGCTGGATGGACCCAGTCGTAGCATCCAAAGTCCACTTTACCAAATCAGTCGCCGATCTGGACAAGTTTATTTCACGCACCCAGATCCCACGAGAACTGAAGGGTGACGAGGACTGGCAATACGAATACGTCGAGCCAAAGAAGGACGAGAACGCTATTATGGAGGATACCGCCACTCGCGACTCGCTCATGTACGACCGTATGATGATCGGTATCCGCATGCTTGCTGCTACGGCGGCTTGGATCTCTGCTACTACATTCGCTGAAGGGAAGGAAAATCCGGCCGCGGTGGATGAGCTCAAGTCGAGACGGAATGCTGTTATTGAGGAGTTCCGGGTTAATTATTGGAATTTGGATCCCTATGTTCGGGCTCGGGCACTTATTGATCGGACTGGGGTTCTGAAGGAAGGTGGGACGGTTGCTAGGCAAGCTTGAGGCTTTTGGATGAAGTGTATCTTTTTATATGGGTATTTGCCAGTATTTTTCGTCTTCAGTTTGAATCAAAGATGAATGACTGAGAAAGATCGTCAACTTTCTATGCGCGGACATGGGAGCAGCGGTCTAGAGATAGCAAAATTCCATATCTTCAACCTTTCCATTGAAGCTATACTGTAATGCACATAGAGTTAAACGTGAAATCGCATCCATGGATCCACAAAGTTATATCGGAGACATTATATAAGCCGGGACTCGGGAGTTGATTCAACCGGGGTGGATATCATTCGGCGACTTTTTTTCTTCTGCTTCACGCCCTGACAAACCAGCACACGTGGCGAACAGGAGATGCTATGCGAAAAATAGAATCCCGTTGGTTATCCGTGTTTTAGAATCAAATAGCCACAGCTATCAAATTTTCAGATGATAAATCAAACCTCAATTTCTCCACATTAACTACTACAGTATTTATACGCTCTCCCGACCCCTACCTACAATGTAATTATTTCAGTAACCTAAATAATATTCCATATCAGCAATATGACTTGGCCCGACGTTTCAGTCAAGCCCGCTGAGGGCATCTCATACTTTTCCCCTGCCCAGAGCCCTCCGGCAGGCACAGCTCGCGACCCCCAGACGAGCGGAAAGCCCATTCCCAAGCTGTTCAAGCCTCTCACCGTTAGGGGAGTGACCTTCCAGAACCGACTGGGCGTACGTATTCTCCATTCTATTGATGAAATGCAAAGCTAATAGCATCCCCTCAGCTTGCGCCTATGTGCCAATACAGTGCCGATGATGGCCACATGACACCCTGGCACATGGCTCACTACGGTGCCATTGCCCAGCGTGGACCCGGAAACATGATTATTGAGGCCACTGGCGTTGTTCCTGAGGGCCGCATTACCCCCGGCTGTGTCGGTCTCTGGAAGGACTCCCAGATCGCACCCCTTGCCCAGGTCATTGAGTTTGCGCACAGCCAGGGCCAGAAGATCGGTATCCAGCTTGCTCATGCCGGCCGCAAGGCCTCGACCGTCGCTCCTTGGTTGGGCGGTGTTGTCGCTAACAACTCCGTTGGCGGCTGGACCGATAACGTTAAGGCCCCTAGTGCCATCCCCTTCGCCGAGGGTGACCCTATGCCTATTGCCATGACCAAGGATGATATTGAAGAGGTCAAGGCCGCATGGGTTGCTGCTTCCAAACGTGCTGTTGCCGCCGGTGCCGACTTTATCGAGATTCACAACGCTCACGGATATCTCCTTTCGTCTTTCCTGAGCCCGTCCAGCAACCAGCGTACTGACGACTACGGTGGCAGCTTCGAGAACCGCATTCGTCTCTCCCTCGAAATTGCTCAGTTGACTCGTGACACCGTCGGTCCTAACATGCCTGTCTTCCTTCGTGTCTCTGCTACCGACTGGCTCGAGACCAGCAAGCCCGAAGAGAAGGGCTGGAAGCTCGAGGACACTGTTGAGTTTGCTCGTGCTCTTGCTGCCCAGGGTGCTATCGATCTCATTGATATCAGTACTGGTGGTGTGCACGTTGCCCAGAAGATCACATCTGGTGCCGGCTTCCAGGTTCCTTTCGCGGCTGCTGTCAAGGAGGCCGTCGGCAACAAGCTGCTCGTTGCTGCCGTTGGTATGATTAACAACGGAAATTTGGCTGAGAAGATCTTGAACGAGCACGATCTCGATGTGATCCTTGTTGGTCGGGCTTTCCAGCGTGATACTGGTCTCGCATGGCAGTTCGCCAAGGACCTCGACGTTGAGATTGCCATGGCTGGTCAGATCCGCTGGGGTTTCACCAGCTTCCGCAATGCATCGGAGTATATTCAGCCTAACTCCATGAAGGCCTGCATTTTTGATTAGATTTGATACACCCGTTGACCTGCTCGGTCTTCTTGCATATATAGATTCTTTTTGATTTAAAAAGATAAGGCGTTCAGTCTTAAAATGATAGATTTCTTTTCTCTCTCACAGGAAACTTATGGCAGCAAATACTAGAACGATTGTTATTAGACCTCAGTTGAGATAGGATCGTGATCAACAAGACTTTGAAGAACTGGGCATGCTGCGGTGATTTAGAATGCAGGAGTGTCACCATATACCAATTGAAGACTAACCACAATGGCATTGAGGTCGTTCGTCTTATTGGGACAATAGTGGCGTGAAGTTGACCTAAACTTGCCTGTTTGAGCGCGGAAGGTGCGCCGGATAAATAGTTATTCCTGTCCCTTGCTCGACTCACTCCATCTTCCTCTCCTCCCCCTTCCCTTTCCCCCTTGAGCGACAGCTGTGCAGCAGTGCCTCTGTTGTTTCCGATTTTCCGAGTTTTGGCCAGTAACTTTCTCCGACATCCTGTCCTCTCTGACATTGCACACGGCCGTCGGGACTTCGCCCACACGCGACTGCATCTGAATGATGAATCTGTTGACATTTCGGCTTCTCAGTTCTATGGCCCCTTCAGCGTCCGCTGAGGACCACATTGTGGTTGTCGGCGTACGCTGAAGCGGTCATACCTGCTGCTCCGGGGTGTCACATGTGAGAATTGTGCTACAGGAAGCGACCTTGGTTGGTACTTTGGATTCTCAGTTCTATGGCCCCTTCAGCGTCCGCTGAGAACCACATCGTGGTTGTCGGCGTACGCTGAAGCAGTCATACAACTGCTGCTCCGGGGTGCCATCAAATGGTCACTGCAGTACAGCAAGTGTCTCCTTTCGGTGATTTCAGTCTGATTCGACTCTTCGTGCTTGACAGTTCGGTTGGGTCTCGAAGCCCGCAGTAATCGTGATTCGCATTGCATTGGGTATCTTGCTGAAGGATACGGGTTTCCCGTGACAACGCCTGCCTTTCAAGTCGCTGTAACAGGAAATCCGAGCCTTGCATCATGGCACGTATGCGATACGAAGCGCAACCGCGAGGTTGTTGTCAGGCTACGCAGTGGTGAAATCATGTGTTTTTGTACTATACGTTGAGCAGATATCACGGAGAGGAAGCAATGCCGCTGAAAGCTACGCGGGCAGAAGACAGCCTTGTTTGGCATCTTGTGAAGTTACCACCAGATAGCTGGGCTCTGGGGGAGCTCTATCTGGCTCTGAGAATTCCGAACAAATGGAAGCTGTTCACTGCCATTATCAGGCCGGAACGGAAACATTTGCGCATGGACTCTGGTTTGGGAGTCCCGAGATATGGCGGCGGCGGATATGCAGTCAGCGTTAAATCGTCAATATTAAATCTGTTTTCCGGATGAAGCTCAACTTTCCACTCGAATCCAAGCCTAGCATGCTCATGGCAACACCTCCTCCCCCTTCCAATCCCAACACCGCCCTCTCCCTCCTTTCGTCTCAGCCGATAACCCGACAAGGACCTGCAACAATCTCTCAGCTGAATCAACCGGATCCAGCATCTCCCTCTCTCTCCAGAATGCTTTCGTGAAATCCGTCCGCACAGTCCCAGGATGCAGCGCAACAGCCATCGCCCTCTGCGCGCTCTTCGTCTGCAAATACAAATCAAAAGTTTTCGCCAACTGGAACACAGCAGACTTGCTCGCACGGTAGGAGTACCACCCGCCCGATGAGTTATCGGAAATCGAGCCAACGCGGGCAGCCATCATTGCATAGATGGCATGTGAGGGTAATTCCAGTGGTGCATAGGAACCGCCTGCAGCTGTGGAATTCCCCTTTGGGAACGCGGGCGCAGACTTGGATGGCATAAAATTGGAGAGATGTTTCATGAGGAGTAACGGACCCAAGGAGTTGACTTTGAAGCTATCTAGAGCATTGGCGGAGTCGATCTGGCTCGGTGACTTTTCCACATGCAGAGTGCCGGGAACTGTTAGTCCCAGTCTTAGAGGTGTGTCCGGATATTCCTGGCGGATTGTGTCTGCCATTGCTGATATCATAGATTCATCTGCGTGGTCGGTCAGGTTTGTTTACGTTGTCAAGAAGCGCTTGACCAGGACTGAATGTATTTGTACTGTACCTGTCACGTCAACTTCGAGTATCCTAAGCCTCTTCTCGGAGTCTTTGGGTATATCACTGCTGGATAGCAATCGCTCTCGGATCTCATTGCAATTCTTTCGCGCTGTTGCGATCACCGGGAGCTGGGTCCGCGCTAGGAGTTGGTGGGCGAACGCGAAGCCTAACCCTCGTGAAGCAGGAGAAACTAGAGCAAACCCATGTTTTGCTGAAGACATTGCTAAACCATGCTAATCAAAATGATGAACAATGTAGGAAGCAGTGACCTGCTGCTCTTTGGAAGATGACGTCATGAGCCATGACTACTGCCACTGCTTGAATACTCCACTGCCCATCTACAAATTCACATACTTGCTTGGTCCACGTTGAGAAGATGGAATAACCAGACTATTACATGATATTGGAGACGTCCTAGTACTGCATCATTGCTTGGGCGTAGCATTGTCATTTCTTCCCTTCGAGACCATTGAAGAACTCTCTTCCAAACTCCCCACTGCTATCATTGAAACGAAGCTTTTTGTTAAGCTTCTCAATCTTCTTCATGTCATCTGGGCTTAATTTGAAGTCTCCTTCGAGGTTAGACTTGATCCTCGAAGGGGTTTTGGACTTTGGCAGCACTGAGTGACCCAGCGTGATACCCCAGGCTATAAAAACACCCTGCGATCAGCATTTTTCCTCGCCAATGTTGAAACACACTGCGAACACATACCAAGAGTAACCTGTGGAGCACTTTTGTTGTACTTCTTACCGATCTCTGCCAGCTCAGGCTCATCGATCAACCTCCCGACTTCCTCTTTCTTGCCATATAAGGCATTCTGGTTCCCAAACGGCGAGTAGTGCGTGACATGAATACCATTATCCCGATGCCACGCCGTGAACTCATGTTGCTGCAGCCACGGGTGGCATTCCATCTGGTGCACTGCCGGAACAACCGAGGCATTCTTGGCCAGGCGCTCCATCTCAAACTTATCACAGTTCGACACGCCGATAGCCTTGGTCTTGCCCGTTTTCAGCACCTGTTCCATGGCTTTCCAGGTCTGTCTTATTGTCAGTCTCTCCAACGTGGTATCTGACAGGGTATGAGAACGCAGCTTACGTCCATGAGGTCGATATTCTCCAACGCCGGGTTCCCGTTCTGCTTTGGGAACATCTCCTCTCCTCGCTTCCAGGCCACGGGCCAGTGTATCAGATACAGATCTACATATTCCATTCCGAGATCGTTGAGCGAATTTTGCAGGGCTGGTGCAACGTCGTCTGGGTGGTGACTGTTGTTCCAGAGCTTGGTCGTGATGAAGAGATCTTTGCGAGGGATGCCACTCTTCTTGACTCCTTTTCCAACGGCTTTCTCGGTACCGTAACTACCACACCATAAGCCATGAGATTCGATCAAGCTGTTGAGACGTCGATATAGGAAGAGTCACTTACACACGCGCAGTGTCAATGTGACGATATCCGGCCTTGATTGCCTCCGCGACGGCGTCCTCCTGCTCGTTTGCATCCTGCCACGTGCCGAATCCGAGGGCCGGGATCTCTGCACCTGTATTCAACTTGTAGCGTGTGGACATTTTGCTCGACTGGTATTAATGGCGGTTCAGAGACAACCTATTGTTGCTTTTTTGTGACAGACTCGATGTCGAAAATTGGTGACTGGTGTCAGAGAGCACCGTACTTGGCTGCTGTGCTCGAAGCTGAGCGTCAGGCTGATGCAATCGATTTCGAAATGCTTCTGGCTTTGATGACGTCTGGATGAGGTGTTTCGGTTTCCGGATCCGGATCCGGATCCGCAAAGAAGGTTCCTCTGGATCTTAGCCGTTGGTTTGCACAATTGTGGCTCTCGATCATGCTCGTCTGTTTTAAGTGCAAGGTCTCGACTTATGTTCTCTCCACGAGTGACCTTCAGGTCTACAACGATCTGAACTGGTTCCTAGCTTGCGAGGATGCAGCTACTGTTTCAAAGCGCTGACATGTCCCTCGCTGGTGTTACGTTTACAAAGTCCTACCAGTCACGCCTTGGGTTCTTTTCTTTATTGCTATATGCTATTTCTAGTACAGCAAGCCCTCTGAGATCTCGCAAGCTGATCATGAAAATGCCCAAAGTGGTTTAACCGCTCTGTCAATAACCACATACATAATCAAACCTGAGGATATTCAGCGAGAAGAAGTTGATGCTCTTAACTTCACGCTAACAGCAAAGGTACACCAAGATTGTGCCAGCGAAGAAACATATGGAATACTAAGCGTGCCAAATCGGTAAACTCAATGAGACTACAACAATATTCGAAGACAGATTCCCCAACGAACACACACAAATTGTCTCTCGGCTTGTATCCGGAAACACCCTAGACCGCATCTGGTTGCTCTATAAATAATCCCTGCTTGTTCGTATCGTGAGGGGTCTCGTATTGGATTGAGTCTTTTAATGAGTCATCGTAAAATACTGTAAATTTCTGTAGAATAAATGTTCTAGGCAGGGGTTCCCAAAAGGATGGGCTGTTGAGCTTGCAGCATTGAGCTTGCATTGATGTCGCCCATGTGTGCATATTCGTACGCCAGCTGTCTACTGGGACATATAGACAGAGAAAAGTCAGTACTGCTAGGTCGTAGAGATTACAGGACTAGGTATGAAAACGAATTCATTCCGCTTTGCTGCGCCATTTCCGTATAGTCTTGGATCGTTGCTATCAAACTGGCCAATCAAGAATCACCCATCACACGCGTCTCGTTTCTCCCACCCCCTCCAGCGAAACCTTTAAATACTACGGAGCCACGCGCTGAGTTTCTCGTGTAGTCCTAATTTCGAATACAGACTCATCGTCTTGATTATAAGTCGTGGCTCACGGTGCTCTTTAGAGACAAACTATCACGTCCCCATTCCAACAAACAACAACAATAAAATTGCAATATCCGGACAATGGCAGAAGCAAGAGCGCAGCAACTTCGCGGCCTCCACCAACCCGGCAGGCCTGTCGTGTTTGCAAATGTCTATGATGTACCAACAGCGGAAATGGTGGCCACACACCCAGCGACGGAGGCCGTCGCTACTGCAAGCTTCGCTATTTCTGCGGTCAACGGATGCGACGATGATGAGCTTGACTTAGACACAAACCTTGCCGCCTTACGACGCATTATCCCAGTCGCTTTGAAAAATGAAAAGCCCATCACAGTCGACCTGCAAGATGGTTACGGTGATCAGCTGGAATATGCTGTCAAAAGTATCATTGCACTTGGAGCGTCCGGGTGCAACATTGAAGATCGTGACAACAGCACAGGGCGGATGATCCCTCTAGATGAAGCAGTGAACCGTGTTCGCCGAGCAATCTATGCTGCAAAGGAGGCAGGTGTTCCAAGCTTTGTGGTGAATGCGCGCACGGATGCTGTCTTCAAGGACAACGATATCGATGATGCAATTGTGCGTGGGCAAGCGTATCTGGATGCCGGAGCCACGACAGTTATGGTTTGGGGTGGACTCAAGCGAGGGTTGGCCACTCAGGAAGTTAGTCAACTGTGCCAGGCGTTCAAAGGTCGACTGAATGTAATCGCACGCCTCGATTCTGACGGGCTGTCGGTTCGTGAGCTCGCTGAAATTGGTGTGGCAAGGATCAGTATTGGGCCAGCTTTATGGAGGCATGCAATGGACTCTTTACGACAAAAGGCTGAGTCATATCTGAACCAGGTAGTCGAGATGCGGAGATAAGCCAAGAGAATACATGTAGCTGGGCGCCATACGTTAGACACTGTGGATGTTCGAGACACCTTTGGAAGCAAGTCAGTGAAATCAGAATCCAGACCTCTAGCTTGAGCACAATGCGATTTTTTGACTCAAGGAAATTGAACTCTCTAACAGGAATCATTGCACCTAAGGCCCTGTTCTAGGATATCGCTTAGTGAGTGGCGACGAAATGACAACCAGGCTTTCAATTGGGCTTTTGAGCTACAAGTGTAAAACCAGCTCTACCGTTTCATTCATCTTACTTCTCAGTCCCACTGTCAAAACTCTATCATTTAGTGAAGTTATGATATGTACTCTTTTCTACCCGCAACTGACATTGCAGTTTGTCAAAAGAAGTAGCGTACACCATATTCAATCGCTTAAACTGTTAGCTAAAACAGTGGCACACGTAGTAGCAGACGTAGTGGCAGGAACCCGCTTCAATTGTGGTCGAGGTGGCTGTTACTCCACACTCGAGAATTGTTCGACATACTGTAGGAAGGCAAATACTCTCTCTTATTTACTAGTTACGTCCGCAAACAAATTACTCAGCCGCCTCCGTGATCTGACGAGCCTGCTGGATTTCCTGGCGCATCTAAATCTCAGACATAGGCCTCATCCTGAAGCCAAGTATTTTCGGAAATTCGGTAAAGTTCCTCGATGCGTGTTCACGTAGGGGATCACGGAAGCCTTCGTCGAAATTGGTCTCCTCAATTGCATCCAGGACGAGACCTGCTTGGAAGAAGGGTGCAAAGAGCTGGTTAAGAGGCCGGTGGAACAAGTACTACGCGCGTTATTTAGTCGTGTCATCCTCTCACGGGATAGGGAAGGTTTGCAATCACTTACCGGCGACTCTGTTTCCCCTTTCAAAACCAATTGTCTCGCGGGAGCGACATTCAAGTATTTGCTTACAACAATAGAGCGGTCGACAATTCGCTGACCAGTCTCTGGGTCCTCATGGACTACTATCTGCCGAGCAGCCCCAGATGTGAAAAATAGCGGATGAAGCAGAGTAGCAACGAAGCTAGGAGATAGCTGTTAGTTTGAATAAGGATCCAAAGCGTATGTTTGACGGAAGAAAATATATTAGAACTCACCAACCGTTCGGTTTGAGCAAAATTTTCAAAGATCTTGCTAATGGCCCCAGATCCTGAATGTCCATGAGAGCCATATTCATAGTGACAACATCGAAACCGTCATTCTAATCAAGAGGTGTGATAACATGTGAGAGGTAAGAAGACACTCTGCAAATCAGGTTGTAAACTGACCATCAGACGATTATCGATCGCCATGAAATTATCCCAAGAGAACTGGTTTGTGACATCGAGGCGATGGAAGGATATCTTGTTTTCATATAGGGAGATGTCCGTTCGCGCCTTTGCACGGTCTATCATCGTCGCTGCACCGTCGGTTGCGATGACAGAAGCGGCTTTCTGAGCTAACCAGCGAGCCACAAGACCATTTCCTGTTGCAAGATCTATAGCACGGCATCCTTCTAGTTTACCAATCAGCTTCTCTAAGATGGGAAGTTCTAGAAAGCGGAAATATTCATTTCCTTCATCCCCCATGCCTTCATCCCAAGAAGGGGCAAAAGTCTCCCAGGATGCCAGCGGGGAATCGCTTGAAGCCATGTTTAAAAAAGTACAAATAGGGGGCGAGCAAAAGAGTGTAGGTCACCCGTATGATGCAGCTCGATATTGTTTTGACCTCGGAGGATTACGAGAAACCCCCTCCTTGGCAAAGATGACTCATATAAGTACGATTATCTCAATACGCATTAGTGTGTCGGGTACGGGACGAGGAAGGAAACATGGGTGTCTGGGGGGTAATCTGTTTTCGAACTCTACTGTAACAGCCTCGTAGGTATAGTGGAGAGTAGTTGTCGCGTTTCTCGGTTGATGTTTGATGCCAAGACAAACAGCAGCAGTGGTAAAATCCGGCCACCGTACTCTGCCCTCAGTTTATATAGCGAGCTCCACCCACAATTTTTTTCTCTTCCGTCTTCATTGCTGGTGATTTCCAAAGAGCTATGAGCTCTCAATTCTTTTCTTCATTTTCTTTTCTCAATAGCTTGGACTGTGTCTAATGATGGCACACACTTCTGCTGTTTTCAAGCACGAGTTCAATCTCGGTGCTGCCAGCAAAAATTTTCACTAAAAGGTAAGGAAAAACTTTTCCCTCTCAACCTCAACAACCCCCCTGGGATGATGATCATTCGACATGCAAAGGCATTCCTCAAACTTAATCACCATGTGGAATCTGTCAAAATTTAGTTTCAGCCTTGTCTGACCCCCAATCACAATATCTCATTGCTTCATTGCCATTCATTGAGTGAGCTTTAGCTAACAAGCTGTCGCTTAGGTACATACAAGTTACTCCCATTCCCATCATTCCATTGCGGCTATTGCCTAGCATGAAGATATCTTGAACGAACGGGCGGACATAACGTACCCATCTTTCATGCACCCGAAACTAGCAGAGCGTACAAACTCTGTGGGTGTATGTTTGGTGGATTACTTGTTGAGAATTCGTCACCTGACCCATTACCCTCATACCATTTTGTCCATGTCGCCATGACAAGCTTTTTGCAGTGTTTCTAACAGAAACTCTAGGTAATTCACTGCTCTAATTTCGTTGCCCTATCCCATCATGGTCATATCTATTATGATGAATGTGTTATTCACACTGTTTGACCTGGGCACTTCGGTGTCCGGGAATGAACATTTATACAAAAATCTGATTTAATGAGGTGAGTTTCTTTGAACAGAAAAATTTTTACGTTCCATGCTGACTGACTTTCTAGCCTGACTTAGTTGCCATGTCTTGATCTTGCTGTTGACGTCTGCATCTTGCTTGAATGCCATCGCTGACTCGACATAAGTGAATACGTAGGAATACATAACCAGTATGCAACATGGCTTGTTGACCGTGAGTTTACTCTTATTCCAATCTTCCCTTCATTGCCTGATGAACCCTTAATATTCGCTGTGTTCTTTCTGAATCACCGTGTCGATACAATATTATTTCACCTTGGAGAACTGATCTTTTCTTCACTTACCCTCCATGTCACTCATGTCATGAGATGTTCTGTTGCTAATCCGCATCACAGAAGCCCATGGTTACTACATAATAGCATTAATCTTAATGAAAAAAATTCTTTCATACTCCATATCTTTCCATTGTAAATCAAACTCCCTCTCATCGCTTGAAATCCTCTCGCCATTGGTCGTTCATAAGCACCTTACTCCAACATGGACATGGACATGTCCTACTCAACAAAATGACCATGCTTCTTATGCCACCCCTCAAGACTATCCTTACCATAAAGCTTATGCACGCTCTTCTTCCCCTCCGGCCACCGCGCCCAAGCCGGCTTAGATCCCTCCATGATGCAAACCATTTCATCCGGCACCGGCAACTCCGTATCAATTGCGGAAGCAAATGGATGGATGAGTTCAGGCCAGTGGTGGTCCCATACCCAGAGCATGGTACTGCAATTCGAGCAGAAGCTGCGCTCAGAGTCGCAGAGCTCTTCGTTTGGTGTTCCGCGGTCCTTGATTGCGTTGTATTTCCTAGCTGTGTTAGCTTGTTGTCAATCTTTGGTAGAAGCGTCATGTTCTTGATATTTGTGGATACGATAAACAATATATTAGGAGGGAATTAGTATGGATGGATGGTTCGTACTTGATGAGGTCTTTGCCCTTGGTGATGTTCATGCTGTCTGCGATTCCACCTAGGTTCACAGCGCCCAGGTATCCACCTACTTTACGGCAGATGCTACAGGCACAGAGCTGGTATGGCACTGGAGTCTGCGATTGAAGGGTGAATTGAATGCCGCCGCATTGGCAGCTTCCTTCGAGTTTCCTGTTGTTCGTTGGGTCAGTGGTCTGATGCTGATGTGTGACGAGGTACTTGCTATCCAGCTCCACCTACATGGGCATGGTTTGGGTTAATGAAGATAAAGTAGATGAAACCAGCAGTTGTTGAACAAGAAGAATGAGAATGGTAGAAAAACACTAATCGGATGACTTAAAAAGTAGGACAGTGCCTCTATATATAATCCCACTAATCCCATCATAACCAAACTTCACAACACAAGCAAACAGGTAAAACAAGGTATGACTGCATAATCCGTCTAACTCCGCCTATCTCTGTCCAATATTACTCTGCATCTGCAGGCCCAAGTTCTATTTCCCCTCTATCCGGAGACATATACATCATCGACCGAATCCTGCACCTGTGACTGGCTGGTGGGGTGTTTGTCCTGTTTGCTCTGTTTGTTTCTCGGACTTTTGGCCTCGCTCTCCGACAAGTGCTCATCTTACGACGCTACTGCTTTGTCTGTATCAAAGCAGACTCCTTTATTGCTATCATTTTGAGCAGATTTACGCTCACAATTCTTGAACATGAGTTTCGGAGCGCCCGGAGGCGGATCGGTCAACTACAAGCCCGCGCCGTAAGTGTTGACTGAAACGAACCGCTTTGCGCAGGCAATCTTCCTCCATTGAGGGATAGAACTTGCAACAGCGACCCCAGAATTATACTGACTATGCCTTTTTGTATAGACCCGAGCGCGGTAGCTTCCCTCTCGATCACGATGGTACGATAGCCCACAGCCACAACCATTTAATCTTGACCTCAACGAACCCAGCAAGATAATCGAAACAGCAGCTAACTATAACATTGGATGCTTTAGGAGAATGCAAGCACATTATTTCCGGATACCTGAAGTGCATCAAGCTCAACAGAGGTACCAACGACGAGGCGTGTCGCAAATTGGCCAAGGAATACCTTTCCTGCCGAATGGACAAGTAGGTTGGAACTGCTTCGTGGAGGCGTCGGATACCTTCATAATTACAGATATGAGGATCTAGACTTGATGGAAACAGTGTGCTGATCGGACATATCTATTAGGAACCTCATGGCGCCGGATAATTTCCAGAACCTCGGTCTAGTGTTCAAAGACGACGAAGGGAAAGATAAGGCCCCGGCCAATGCACGTGCCGATGCATCGAATACTGCGCAGCCGAAAAGCTGAGGTGGGAGAATGAAGTGCTGGACGATATTGTACGATATGATGGGAGATAGGTACTAGTCTGATAACAGGGTAGTGCTGGCGTTATTCAAGGCGTTGTACATATGAAAATGCATTTGATACCTATACGCATAAAGCCATTGAGTATCTGTCTCCGTGAGATGGAGACAGTATCTATATGATATCTATATGCGCCTGACCCTGTCGAAATGCGGTGGGCACGTTAATTTAGAAGAGGATGTGACAGTGCCTAAATTTCTTATAAATGATAGCAGAGAGTAATAGTTAACTCCTCTGCAACATGATATTTCAAGAGAGTGCTTTAATATCCCGTGCTAGTTAGTTCACTCTGCAAGTATGGCGTCTTGCATGGAAACTTCATAAATTTTTGACTAATAGCTTGGAAGCTTGAATAGTAGGAGCCATATGCCAACCAAGCGCTACCCTAGAAAATAATAATCCGAGATTCGAACAGCTAAATTCAGACATATTCCGCAGGAGTTGTTAGCAAAACATGGCTGATTTACCGTCTGATAGACCGTTGGCTCGAGCATGCGGGGAACCAATTCCGCCCAACCACTCTCGAGCCTGCGATCTCCAACTCCTCCACGGAGCCCCAAGACACCAAATGTCCTCGATCGCACGGCCTCCAGACCCGTGTCTCGTGGCCATAATACTAATTGTCCGCTCACGAACGGGACCACGTCTCGTCTTCCACTACCCCCCGAATCCGCTCAGCGAGAACCGCCTGAAATCCACCACCAAGGGCGGCCGGCGCATCTCCCGCACTCGCGCGCGACGAGGCTCGAAGAATACCGATTCCAGTTCAAGCGATGAAAGCGGCCTAAGCTCTGACGACGAGGAAGAGGACCGAGAAAGAGAAAAGGAAAGCCATGTCGGCGGCAGCTCAGTGCTCTCGGGTCGGCGCGCCAGCAATTTCGGCCTCGACGAGCACCTATCCGTCTCGGTGTCGACTGCAGCCCATGAACCGCACCGTCCCGGCTCTCTAGGTTCTGGTCGAGGTTCATCGCTGCGAAAACGCGGTGGTGCAGGCTCGGATCTTGAGGAGGATGCGGGGACGGCGTCTGATCGACCTGAAGATGGTCCTGGGAGGTCTAGGCCGCCCTGGGAGTCGCTTCTGGGTGTACCCGGGAGTGTATGGGAGAAGCTACTGAGTCCATCTCGGTCGTGGCATAAGCGGCGCTTTGAGATTGGCATCAATGACCTTGCACTTATTGGGTGGCCGGTCTTCGTGCGCGAGGATGGTACATGGCGCAAACAACGACGCAAGAAAAAGAAGAAGCCGCGTGCGGACTGGGAAGGTGGTGAATTGGGTCACAATGAACATGGTGAGGATGGGCACGGTGATGAGCGGTTTGTTACGTCTCCTGATTTGGGTGCCAGTGTTGCCTCCATTGCGGAGTCTTTGACTTCGCCGACGGGTAGCAAGCGTGATTCGGCTAGCGGGAAATCGGGGAAGATGGGAGATGGTGGGCCTCTTGACCCCGAGGATAAAGATCATATGACTATGTTCAATGTGGTATTTGTCGTGGATCCGCCTCTTCTGGAGTACTCGATGCGGGTGAAGGAGATCTATGAGAACATCATCAAGAAGTTCGCCAAGGCACTCAAGTGGGAGCAGGCTCGCAATGATTATGTGTGGAAAGAGTCTCAACATATCTTGCAAGTTCGACGGAGAGCACGCGAGAATAGTAAGTTTTCCGCTGGAGGTTGTCATCATGCTCGAGCTGACATGACTTTTCAGAAACATCGACTCATAATCTTTACTCCGAATTGATTTCTCAGTCTTCGCTGGCTAGGGCTATGTACACAGTGTACAGTAGCATATCAGCGTCCAAGATCGCATCTATCTCGCTTAGCCCGGATGTGTCTATTTCGCTCCAAATCCCGCCACTGACCTCTACACCATACGTTTCTGGCCCAGCAGACAAATCATACCCCGGTCTGTGGCTGACAACATCAGACAGTGCAACTCCAGTGGACGATCCAGGGGCTGATGGAAACAATACGCCACATCAAGTACTGGCAAAGCATTTCGCCCTCCTACTATTGGACAGCGAAGCTGCGATTATCAAGGATGTCGAAGCCTCCGGTGGCGCTCTTGCTCCAGCACTCGCCCACTACATCCGTTGCTCTAAGCCGACCAAGTCTTTTGCTCAGATATCAGCGTCGTCAGGGATCCCCTTATCTCACATCCAGATGCTGTCAAGCCACCTCGTGTATTGGCGTCGTGCTCGCGCTATTCCTCCAATCCACCAACGAGATACGTACATCGTCTCTCCGAACTGTGACCTGAGTAAGCTGGAAGTGGCTACGATCGCTTATCAAGCAGCGTTCCCAACGCTTCCCAGCTTGCCAAAGATGCTTTCCACCCTCAGCGGTACCCCTCGCCCGTACAGCAACTTCATCCCTAGCAAGGATCACAAGGAGGCCTACTTTAACATCTTGGCATGGTTATTGCGCGGCGGTTGGGTCACTCAGCTGCGCACATTTGCGCGTATCAAGGTCACACCCGAGATCAAAATGGCTGTGGAAATGGCATTGCGGAAGGAGGAAGTGGACCGGTACCTAGCAAAGGGCTCTTCCAATTCCATCCCAGTCGACGAAGATGACTCCGACGACGAGGATGATGATGCGAACTCTTCATCCTCATCCTCACTAGCAAGCCACGACAGCGGTGATGAGACGCCCATGCCCGGCCGACTCGATCCACACACGCAACTGCGCATGTCTCACAAATTCTTAGATCGATCAACATCTCTCCGTCTCTCATCATTCATTCTCTCTCCGCATCGTGCATCCCCACTCGAGTCACGCTGGCTCGACGAGATCGTCGCTCGATTTCCCGACCACCCCAACACAGATCAAGATGAGCTCAAGAATAGCCCAGATAACGATCTCCAGACCGTGCACAAGAAATACTGGCCAGTCTTCCTGAAGTACTTCAATGGGTATGACGCCGTGGAAAAGATTCCCGTACGGGAAAATCTCAAGCGCAAGCTTGTTTGGCAGGTTCTCATGCGGCTGGGGTTGGTGACGGGACCACTGGGATCGATTGAGTTAGATGCGCGCGAACAGGTGTTGGTCAGTTTTCGGCATTGGTAGATATGTATCTACATGGTTTTTGCGGTATGGAGTTTGGTGTCTTCGGGTAACTTACATGTAATTATTGTGGTTTTGTACAGGCCTAGAGTTTCCTCTGGCTGGACACTGATATCCCAATTTTCCAGCGATACTTTCCAATCCCCATAATGTCAAACTAGATCTAAATAGATCCCACGCCTGAGGCATATCCCGTGTCGCCAGGGTAATCCATCCATACATGTAATCCGATTACATACCCACTCCATTCCGGTGGTTTCCGCGTGCCCTCAGCCCTAACCTCTGCCGAAGGCACAACATGTGTACCCGATGTGTTAACGGCTGGAGAGTAAGAGTCAGATGGGCAGGGAGAATAATCGGAGTAGAAGTATTTGGGCAGTTATTTGGGCAATTTGGCGAGAAGTAACAGATAACTTTACAGTGCGTGTACATACATGTACATGCCGTCAAGTCACGTGCACGAGTATACATCGCACAAATATAAGAAGGGTAATTTTTAGTGTTAAAGTAATCAAACTCACGGCGCATTGCCTGTATTACACTTACCCTGGGGCCAAGGTATCCTAGCATTTCATCCCCGGCTCGTATATCCGAGCATATGTATTAACGGTCCAACGGGTGAAACATGACACTAAATGTGACCTCGGGCATAGGGATATATTGGACTGGAGAATATATATCTATATCAATGCTGATATTAGCCACTGTTACAAGGAGGAAGGCCAATACATTCGAACTCTCTGTCAGATATTTCATTGTGCGCCAATCGCCAGAGGGGCTCCGGTGGACCCCGCGATATTCAATTCAGTCAGATGTACGGAGCGTAGTACGTATTTTTTTTGGGGAAATGAAGTCGAGGATTACAGGGTACTCGGTAATTATATGCCTCAAATTTTATAACGAAGGTGAATGTTAACAATATCAAAGCATAGGTTATCGGTGGCTCACGGCCTTTTAAGCTTAGAACTGAACCCTGAACTATCGCCGCTCTGACAGCTACTTTAATCGGTCGCGCGACCTCGGTAATAAGGCATCGGTGAATTCCTGAGGCTCAATTATCTCGGTGCGTGGTGTTCGTCGAGCTTATAGGTTGATGTATACAAGTATAAGCAGTTCTTCTATACTGCCGAGATCGTCGACCTCGGCAAAGAAGATACACAAAGGGATTCGAGCATGTACACGGCCAACTATCGACGAGATTCTGCCTTCGGGAATGTATGTCTCAATTGCGCACAGTATACACAGTATCCCCCATTACGCACCTTGGGAGCCTAGGCAAAGCCCAGGGACTTAGTGTGACCAGTAGTAATCAGGCCACCTTGAAGGAACCTTGAAGTAAGATAGAATAAAACCGATTTAAATCAAATGTTTTTCTATTTGGCTATGAAAATTCCACAAAAAAAGTGCCAGAGAGTAATTAATTACGCAGTGTAAGGAAAACCCCGCTACCACCAGATTCTGCCCTGAACCAAATAATTTTGTTGGACTTCCTTTCTCTTCCTCTTCTCCCATCCTCCGCGGGCTGTTTTCTCCCCTTCCATTCCTCCCTTCCAACACCCACTTGTTGACCTTTCGCGTCACTTCTTCTTTATTTCTCGGTACCTCTCATCGTCTCACGCTTCGAGAGAACCGAAATCCGACCTTCCGAGACTCCCCACCACGTGCGAATCGCGTCGTTCGGTCCCCCATTTTTTCAAGGGATCGACACTTTCGCCAGCAACGCCGTTTGAATTGAACTTTCTCTTCCTTGCCTGTTGGTCTACCCGAGAGTGAGGGGTGGAATTACGCAAGGGAAGAGTTCCTGTGCATCCGACTTGCACGAACAGCAGTGACTGCACGAGCCTGCCGCTCAACCTTTCACAGCTTGGTACACGACGTTCACAGGGCAGTGCCTTTGCGTCCTCGGTGGAAAATTTTCCTTCGCACCGACTTTCACATCTTCAGTTCTTGACAACCGCGGGTTCGCAAGCCACAGCCGTTGAGATCTTCGTTTCACACAGTCGACGGTTCGTCAATCGATGCGATTTGTGATCTAGACGATCCATACGACCGATACCCGTTCGATTGCATTTTTGTGCGCCGACACACATACGCTGGTTTCTTGTATTGTCGCAGGAAATCTTCCTTCTCGCATACACTGGGAGCCTCTCTGAAAGACGGGAAGCTACAGTTCAGTGGATTTACGAGAACGTGGGATAATTTTTTTATTCCCACTTCTGCAGGAGCCATCTCGCCCCAATCGGCGCAGACAGTTCTCCAGAGTCGCCAAAGGAGGCCCGGGATAAATAACCCGCACTCTCAAACGGACTCGTTTTTTTACCAATCGTCACGATCAGAGCTTCAATAAGCTCTCCATCCGACATGTCTACCTTTTCGTACGCACAAGCCGCCAAGGGCGCATCCGGGACACAGACCCCATCCAAGACGCCATCAGAGCCGGAGAAGATCGACTCCAAACAGGAGGAAGAACCAACCGAGACCACAACGGAGACCGCACCGGCCCCCGCTGAATCCGACGCCCCTCAAACATCTGAGAAGGTTGCTGTGGAGGAGACCAAGGATGACGATTTCACCACCGTCACCAACAAGCATGCTGCTAAGAAGGCCGTCACTTCCCGCACATCAAGTCCGAGCGTTCGCACCACTTCCAAGTCCCGCAAGTCCAAGGAGGACGACTCTTCAAATACCCCGAATGGCACCGCAGAGGCCACTTCGGAGAAGCAGGTTTCCACCGAGGGAAAGACGGATGCTGTTGCTGAGAAGTCAAACGAGAAGTCCGAGGAGTCCACGAAGGACGCCGCTCCTCCCAAGGAGCTGAAGGCTGCTCCTCTCCCCTCAATCAATATCTGGCAACAGCGCAGAGAGGCGCAAGACGCCAAGGTCAAGACTGTTCCCAAGTCCGCTGCTACTGGCAAGTCCAACTCCACCAAGGGTGCTTCCGATGAGACCCAGCAGGATTCCAAGGCTTCCAAGAAGAAGGGCGCTGAAAGCGCACCGGAAGGTACAAAGGACCGCAAGAAGACCGAGGGCGGAAAGGGACGCGATGCTGGTAAGATTTCGACTTGCAGATTGCGACATTATCAACCGCGCAAGCCAGGTCCACTTAGCTTTGAGAAGGGCGATGATGACGCAATCTTGTGAAAATGACAATCAGATGCTAACCTACTCTATAGGATCGGTCCCCCCAGTTGAGGATTCCACCGCATGGCCCACTCCCCAGGTCGCGATCGGCGAAGAGAAGAAGAAGGCCCAAGAGAAGACCGACAAGAGCCCCGTGATCCGACCCCATGGAAAGGAGAAGTGGACTCCTGTTCCTTACGTCCCTACCGCTGTTTTCAACACCCCTCTGCCCTCTGCTGGCGGCGGCCGTGGAGGCCGACGTGCCGCTCGTGGCGGCCGTGATTCTGGCCGTGGAACTCACGGCAATGGTGCTCCTGCTACTGAGAAGGCTGCCTCTGGACAGGCTGCCCAAGGCTCCAAACAGGCCACCGGAGAGCGCGGAAGAAACGAGGCTACTGGACGTGCTGCATCCCTCCCTGCTCAGTCAAGACGTTCCACCAGCACCGAGGCTGGTGCCGCTGCTGATGCGCGCAAGGCTTCCCAAGCCCCTGAGCGCAGCCGTGGAGCCCGTAACGGCGAGGAAACTGCCAACAAGCCGGTCAACGGAGAGAACGCTCCCCGCTCCCAGCGCGAGGGCAAGCCTTTCGGAAAGAACCAGGAAGCTCGCAATGGCAAGGGTGGAAACCTGGCTGTCGACTCGCAGGCTGCGGCCCGCACCAATGACCGTCGATTTGATGCCGGCTCGAAGTCTGCTGACCCCAATAGCTTCAACGACTTCAACCGCGGTGAATTCCGTGGAGAGCGTGGAGGCCGTGGAGGCAACCGTGGCCGTGGTGGCTACTCCAACTTCGGTGGCCAGAACGCTCAGTTCACTAATGCGTCTATGTCCAACAACTTTGCTTCGTCCAAGTCCTTTGGTTTCAACGACCGTCAGCGGTCACAACAGCACGGCCTTCCCAATGGCTCTCAGCAGACCTCCCGCATGCCTTTGAGATCGCCCTCGCTGCCCAACGGAAATGTCTACGGTGTCTACCCCTTCCCTAGCGATATCAACACAATGTACGGCTACCAGGCTGTGAACCCCGGCCCCATGAGCGCTGTGCCATATCAGCAGTATATGGAGCCCTTCTCGCTCATGTCAATGCTGTCCATGCAGTTGGAGTACTACTTCTCGGTTGACAACATGTGCAAGGACATGTTCCTTCGCAAGCAGATGGATTCTCAGGGCTTTGTTCCTTTGAACGTCCTTGCCAGCTTCAAGCGTGTTAAGTCCCTGACTGAGGACTTCGAACTTATTCGTCACGTGGCTCGTCAGCTCCGCAATGTTGAGTACCAGACCGGTGAAGACAATATCGACCGTCTGCGTCCCAGAGATAAGTGGCAGCAGTGGGTTCTCCCCGTCGACCAGCGTGAACCTGCCGCTCAACACGATGGTACTCCCGCCGCCAAGACCGATGAGAACACCCCTGTGCACAGCGCCATCAACGGCTCTGCTCGTCAGTTCGTTCCCAACGGAGTTGCCAATGCCTCGAAGACATCGCTTTCGTCTACCGCCCCAGAATTTATGCCTTCATTGCCTCACACCGCAGTGAATGAAATTGCCAATGTAGGATACCCTGTGGACCCTTACCTTTCGCAAGATGCGGACTCGACTTGGTCGACTGTTCTCTCGTCTTCGCAATGCCCCGTGGATTATTCATTTGTTGACCCTTATTCAGCGCGCGGATTAGAACCGCATTCCGAATCCCCTTACCACTTTGACTTGGAGATGATGGCGGGCCCAGTGAGGTATGCCCAGTCCATTTCGCCTCACCACTGGTAAAGAATTGACTGACTTGTGTTGTAAAGGTCTGACACGAATTGCTCTCGACACCAAGTCGGCGGTGCTACTCGTTCAGACTACAAGCGTCTCAAGAGCTCGAGGTACAAAAAGTCAAAGAGGATGGGTCGTCCGTCCACAGAAACTTCCAATTATGTCCCCCAACTTCCCACCCTGTTTAGTGATGAACCTTTCGATGGCAGAGGCCGATCAGTGGCCCGAGAAAATACCCCTGGAGCCACCCTGCCTTACTCTGACTGGTCTCGGAGCTTGACAAGCAATTTCCAATCGCACCTGTACAATGAATTTAGGCGTTCAGCCCTTGATGATCTTTTTACACGACACGTTGACACTGGATTCAAGGCTCTCATGGACTTCTATCGGGAGTGTCTGTTTGCCCACTGTATCCATCCCACTGTGATGCTCGACATGATCAAACTTTCGAAGGATACATCTCACGGTTATTCCACAATTGCTTTTGATATGATTCATGACGCCATCGCCAGTGGGAAAATGTGGCTACACAACCAGAAAAATGTCGACAAACATTTCAATACCCTGCACGGCAAATTGCCCCGAGAAAAGTTACAACGTTGAGCCCTTTTCACATTTTTTTCTTCCTTTGAATTCTTTTTCTTATTTTTTTTGCGACCCATTCCCACTGCTCGTTCATTCGTCATGATCGGCATTTTCTACTTCTGTCCAAAAGGTTTCTGCATGCATATTCTCCAATTTTTCTTCTAGAGTGCCAACTTCTTTGCAATGCAGTTGGGCTTGTTTCTTGTTAAGCCTGGGAGTTTTTATTTTCTTTTATCTCATCTCCTTTCCTGTCATTCCTGTTCCTTGCTTTCAGTCATGGGAGGTTATCAAAATGTTCTGGCGTCCGGGCATGTTTTTTACTGGCAGTGTCTCTCCCTCTCGATGCCTGCCGCTACGGTGTGCCTGGCCAACAAAAATTGTGTTTCCCTTGACATAGAGATTTGCACTTCTATTCTTGTTTCTTTTCTAAGGCTGTGGTCTTCTTATCGACCTAGTCATTGTGTGATCCAGATCCTCGGCTCTGGGTTTTAACAAGTATCAGCACGGCAATGACCCAGAGAAAGCAATGGTCCAATAATCAAAACAAAAGGTCTTGTCTGAGGTTATCTGTGTGTTTCAAGTTACCCCTTGGTTGTGCGTCAAACCGAGAAAAATTACCAGCATCTTTACATTGTCAATTCCTCGTTCGAGAGACCTACTCATCTGGTCTACTGCTGTCATCCCAGGAACAGATTCTTTCCCTTTCAGCATTGAAATGACCTCGTTCATTCTCTGCTTTGTCCTTTCTCTTGCTGGATTCTTTGCACAGCAGACTTGTGTTTCGTGTACTCTGTTCTTTGCATAAACCGGCTGTTCAGTTCTTTGTGGAGTAATATGATTGTTATGCATAATATGAGCAATTGACTCTATGATACTAAAACTGCTATATAATAACGTAAGCTGTAAGATTAACCTGCCACATACTCATTGCCTTTACAAAATACATGAGTCTTGTCATGCGACATTTTGGACGGAATATGCCGAGGTTTCTGCCTGAGGCGCGCAGACCTCAATTAAGCGGAGCAAGCATAATCAGTCCCGAACCTTACTCCGACAGCTCCCTCTCCCCTCTCCAACTTTTGTTCTGCGCCTCCAACCCCAGTGCGCTCCTTCACTATACATATCCTCTGTATTTCCATCTCCGGCTTCACCAAGATGGAGGGCGCAACCCGCCAGACCTCCAGGTTGCTCCGGTCTCGTGGCCAGAACCTCCTTCCCCAACAACGCCGCCTCCCACGCACCAGCACCGGGTCAACCAGCACAGTCCTGCACCAGACTCAATGTCGAACCCTCTCAAATTCTTCTAGGAGTCTCGCCCCAGAGTCCCTCTTCAATAGCCTTAAAGCCGGTGGCCCATACGGCGACGGACCCACCACCTATTTCTCCAACAAACAGCCCCTACCCGCAAACACTGTTGTGCGATTCGTGCCACAGCAAACAGCATGGATTGTCGAGCGCATGGGAAAGTTCCACCGCATCCTCGAGCCCGGTCTGGCAATCCTCGTTCCGTTCTTGGATCGCATTGCCTACGTGAAGAGCTTGAAGGAGTCCGCCATCGAGATTCCCAGCCAGAACGCCATTACGGCGGATAATGTCACACTGGAACTGGATGGTGTGCTATACACGCGTGTATTCGATGCGTACAAGGCAAGGTGAGTGCATGTATAGCCCACGCCTCTCAGGATTGAGTGGAGGTACTTAAGCCGAAGAGTGATTAACACGTTGATTCTCCAATGTAGCTACGGAGTCGAAGACGCAGAATACGCCATTTCGCAACTGGCGCAGACAACGATGCGATCCGAAATCGGTCAGTTGACACTCGACCACGTCCTCAAGGAACGTGCCAACCTCAACACAAACATTACAAAGGCCATCAACGAGGCCGCCCAGGAATGGGGTGTCGTTTGCCTGCGATATGAGATCAGGGATATTCATGCACCCGAGAAGGTCGTGGCTGCCATGCACCGCCAGGTGACAGCCGAGCGGTCGAAGCGCGCTGAGATTCTTGACTCCGAGGGTCAGCGCCAGAGTGCCATTAACATTGCCGAGGGTCGCAAGCAGTCGGTCATCCTGGCTTCTGAGGCGCTACGCGCCGAGCAGATCAACCGCGCTTCCGGTGAATCCGAGGCTATTCAGCTCAAGGCCAAGGCTACCGCTCTCGGTATTGAGGCTGTTGCCCGCGCCATCGAGGAGAATGGCCAGAATGCTCACAGCGCTGTTAGCTTCAGAGTTGCTGAGAAGTATGTCGATGCTTGGTCGAACCTAGCGCGCGAGGGTACCGCCGTCGTTGTTCCTGGTAATGTCGGTGATATGGGTGGCATGATTGCCAACGCGATGGCTGTCTACGGAAAGGTCAGCCAGACGCAGGCTCGCAGTATGGCCGCGAAGACTCTTGGAGTGGACGATGTCTCCAAATCATCGCAAAGCTCGGAACATGGCGTCGACCAGAAGAGCTTCGGGGAGGAGGCGCAGGGGACGGCTCAGTCGGATATCTTGGAAGGATTCGATCTAGCCAACAAGCAAAACAAATAGGCGTCTCTACCCGATTCAACCTAAACGAGAACGATGACCTCTATCTCTTGTCTCTGATGTGTTATTAATCCCACACTCTCCTTTTTTTTGCCCGTCTTGCATCTTGTTACCGCCCCTCTCAGCCCCAGTCCCCCATTCGGCGTCGGGTCGTTTTCTTTTTACTACTCTGCTCTTCTGTATTCTGACCCTACACACTCTTGGTTTTGTTTTGTTTCCTCTTTTCTTGGCACTTGTTTCTCCCAGCATTTCTAAAGGTGTCATCCAAAACGCGCGGGCTTTGCTGTGCTTGTTGGTGTTGAAGTCGCCGATAAGGCTTCCTGTATGTGTACATAAAGGAATTGTTGACGATACGAAAATCCCCAAGGAAGGGGCAGCCTCAATGTACAAGTATTCCTTTTTATTGATCCGTAGTCTATCTATGAGTTTGACCTAGCTGTTTCTGGGCATAGTACGATCTTGTAGGTTAACACCTAAATTACCAGAAAAAGCTGACCTGAAATAATGAAATTGAACTAAATACCCAGACAACAAATGCCGGAGACGAAACAAAGAAATCTATACCAACACATAAAGAGACCAGCCCAAACAAGACCAAGCCGAACTAAACAAGTCGACCCAAACCCACAGGAAACGACTCAATATCAAACCTCAAATGAAGCGCGTAACCATAAGCCGGCCCAGCAAAAGTAACAACCTTAGAAATATAGTGCGTTCCTCTAGGGAAAGCCCCCAAAACCATATAAACCACCGCCTTACCAAGACGCGTCCCCAGAAGACCCTGATACTCAGCAGTATCATATTTCCAAACCATGATAGGCCTGTATGACGACCAGGTAAGCCCGTTTTGCGCAGTATAAAGCCTCTTGCTAACAAAGCGCTTGGTATCGGCGTTAACGACGTTATCGAAATAGACATGTTTGAGAGATTCTATTGGTGACCTGGCTGTATAGAGAGCTGTTGCGATCTCCGAGAAAGGGGGTCCGTAGGTTCTTTTGATGTCTTTGGCGTAGATTATGCCTTCTCCTAGAATGATGTAGTAGGAGTTGTAGGACCATTTCTCGTGTCCGCCTGACTTGGAGAGCTCTGATTTGGAGAGCTCCACGTCTCGGTATTTCTTGAACTTGGGAAATCGTTGTTTAGCACATTCTGGTTCGATTTCAAGTGCGGTAGATATGATGTTAGTCTTGAAAGTCCAGCCCTGCTTTTTGAGCTTTGAGATTGATAGAGTTGAGGGCTTGATGGTGCATGTAGTGTCTTTTGGGTCTTCTATCCATTTTTGGCGTTCGGCACCTGCTTGTTGGATTTCGCCGTAGAGCTGGGGTACTGCGTCTCTGGGAACTGTTTGAGATTTGCTTGTAGGAGGGGTGGGGTTGGGGGATGTGGTGCTGGTGCTGGTGGGGAGGGCAGAGTGTGATTTTCGCTGTTTCCTGGATGCCATGATGTAAGATGTTAGCCTTGGTGTACAATCTGACCAAATGGGCTGGGTTGAGGTTATTGAGTGTTCATTTGTCTAACTGGGCTCGCTGGGATAATGGTTGTCGAAAGTATCTGCTCGAGATGGATGTCACCACTGGAGGGGCTATCTAATTATTTATATGCCATTGTAGCGTTGGTGCTAAAGCCAATTCAAACTGTTACTATCGACCTTACATACAGGAGATAAAGAGAATTAGGAAATAAAGGAGCTAGTATGAATCAGGAGATTGTAGGGCAATTCGGGGGCTCAAAACACAAGAGCAAAGAATTAAGACTAAGGGTTTGAGACAATGAAACGAAGCTCGGATCTCCCAATAGTTAACTTGCATTGTTTGAGACAATTCCATTTTGTGGACAAAGAGTTAGTTAATCTTCGGGTGCTTCCGCTCTCGAGCTTTATGTCTACCTGGGCATTCCCGTTTTGTGACACGATCAATGCTTCAGATGCGATGGAAGGTGTTAGGAGGCTCAGCGTCATACATGGTAACAATAAAACAAAGATTAAGTGTATCTATGATAATCAAAGAAGATGTCCTTGGACTTCAATACTTGAGCTCTAGCTCGCCCATATATTCGGAAGTGAAACGACAAGATTTATGTTATAGTGAGAAATGACCGGGAACGAGGACGTACTATATTAGCGGACACGTCGTGTACATCTCCAACTTATAACAGACTTGATGTATCCTTTACACCAATTGAGCATTGTATTGATAAGTTACGAGAGATCTACCTATGCTAATGGATAGATTAGGTGATGTCATCGAATATATACTTTGTGCCATCCCGTGTTTATTTACTATTCAATACCCCGCCCACTCTCCCTCCTTCTTCTCTTCTTCTCTTTATCTATTCTAAACAGAAAACAGAAAACCGCAGAAACCATGCCCTCTGGAAACGGATACTCCTACAAGAGCTCCGGCACCAACAGCCAGGTACACCTCTCTCTATTCCGATAAGCTCACTATAACGAGAACAAAAACATACACGGAAGTTCTCTGTTATTTGAGCATTGACACCTCAATTCAATGGCGAAATATGCTTATTAGACCCGCCTTAGGGCAACCACTACTGTTCCCGTGACTATGGCTCCGGCGCCTCCAACTCGAACAGCTATCACTACTCGAACTCGTGATTACCCCTGTGATGCATGTGAAGGTGATAAGAATAGCACGTGCTGACTCTGCTTGGTAGCAATGGCTCCTACTACTACTCCAACCCTAATGGAAGTAGCTACTACAACAGCGGGTCGGGAAGCTCGAATTACACCCCACCCTCCGGCTCCGGGGGCTCTGGGAAGAAATAGATAGACACCAGTCTTGTGGTCCATATCTTGAATCATTTATGAGGTTATGGGAAAGGCAGAGATATTCTTAGATATACCTCTTCGCCGGGTTTCCTAAGGGGTGTCTCTTCATTGGTTACCGAGGTAGGCCATGGATCCAATAGATAGTCAAATAATTGCTTTCTATATTAATTTGAATCTGTGCGGAGTTTGATGTAGGAAGGTGAATATCAAAAAGTAGTCCCAGCTATATGACATGTGACCAATACATCAGGAATCATAAATGTGGATACAGTGCGATGAAGTACTGAACAGTCTCTACCCGAAAGCCTCGAAGCGAACACACTATTTCGTATATTGTTTTCGCCCTACTTTGGCCTCTCTTCTTTTGCCTCTATTTGTGTCTTTTTCACCCATTTTCGAGTGCCTCGGGTTAATCATATGGATTGTATTCGGGACATGAAAAAATTCCTGGCCCATAGCTACATGAATACAATTCAGAAAGAATAACTTCCCGCTGATCTATTTCTCAGCCTGGTAGTCACCTCAAATTCTTCAGATATTGTTGTCATCGAGGATCAATCAACTAGCCATTTATATAGCGAGGTCCGGCTAGCATGGTAGAGGCAATTTAGGAGACGTAGCTATAATATCAGGTATATCTGAGTGGCCAGTGGGATCACAGAGCTCTATCATCTCAAACTCTAGCATGCAAAGGGATCCTGTATCGCTGTCATAGATAATGTCGTGAGGCCTGCAGTCGCATACCACAATCGATATGGTTCTGGGGATCAGAGAGCGTAAGGGTCGGGCTAACAAATCACCGTAGTCTCCATGTCCGCGACAAAGAAGCACATGTAGACAAATACAACCCGAGGCACTCGGAAATGGGCATAAAAGAGATGAAAAAGAGAGGGCAAAGTAGGGCGAAAACAATGCATGAAAGGTATACTGGCTTCAAGGTGTAGCAGCGCTCAGAGGTAAAAGGGAAGACGTAAAGATGACTTCTACATCTAACTAGCCTGCCGTCCTAAAGGCGGCATGTGTCAGACTAAACCTTGAAATAAACTTGGAAGGCAGCGGCCCTGTAGGTCCACGTATCGGTAATAGGCGCCAGCCTCGAGAAAAGCTTGTTACGTAGAAATATGAAGAAATGAAGAAAAAGCAGTCAAGTATATATAGTGTCATCCTTAACCGTAATATCGCCTATACCACCCGTAGCTAGTGCCATATCAGCGGCAATATCATATCGCCTTTCTGAAATTCGACAACGTTAGCCCGGTTGTTAGTGTTAGACTCAGATCTAGCGGTTCGTAGGCATTGTTAGGCATCAGGTCTTTCAGTAAGGCTCAATTTCTTTCCTTTTTTGTCTTTTCGAACTATCAAGAGTCACGCTAGCATGTAAGACATGAGGTAAATGGCCATATCTCCAGGCAAGGAAGCTTTTACTCTATTCTTCTTCGAGTTATGATCACAACAGGAATACCAAAGGACTTGGAATAAAAAATAAACAAGTTTTATTACATTTCAATGCAAAATAGGAAAAATGAACATTTAAGGCTGTAGCTATAACGCGGGAGCTCGGACCACGCAAATCTGGAGATCGCGACTTTTGGATCGCGCCCTTAATCTCCGGCTCTCATCCCCTCCCCTGCTCATCCGTACCTTGACGCATTCCCTTCTATCCTAGTTCTTATTTGGGCCCTGTCATGTCCCAGAACAATACCTGAAGCCCAGCTCTATACCCGATCACGACCGCGCCCCTCCTTGCCCTCCCTCGCGCATAGCGCTGATACGTGACGCTCAATCGAGCCCGACCATCCGGACACCCCAAGGAATAAATTAGCAGCTGTGACTGCTCTCGGGCTGGCGCGATGCACATCATCAAGCCGGTCTGGCTCACACACGGAGGTACGGGTTCAATCGCCCTGGATTTCTTTATCCGTTGGTCCTCCGGACGCCGACATAACCCTTCATATTCGAAAACACTCCATGCTGGGCGGATTTTGCTAACGGCATCCTTTCGTACAGGTGAACGCAAGGACTTCGAGGTTTATAGCTGCGATGTTTCGCCAGATGGGAAACGACTAGTGACGGCGGCTGGAGGTGAGCGTGACCCTTCCTGGCATGATTCGGATCGCACAGCATGCGCACACCCGAGGTATTGTTACTGATATCGGGCACTTGATGTTTTCTAGATGGTTACGTTCGGATCTGGTCCACTGAGGCCATTTATGGTACCGGAAATGCTGAACTTGCGGGCAAACCGAAACAATTGGCGTCGATGAGCAACCACTCAGGCACCATCCATACTGTTCGCTTTTCGCCCAATGGGAAATACCTTGCGTCGGGTGCGGATGACAAGATCGTTTGCGTGTACATGCTCGACGCCAACCCTCCAACACACTCGTCAACATTCGGTACGTTTCAAACATTTCGGCCACCAAAGACCGACCCAGACACTTATAGTTATTGCAAATAAACAGGCACGGACGAAGCACCCCCAGTCGAGAACTGGCGCACAATTCGACGATTGATCGGTCATGACAACGATGTCCAAGACCTCGGATGGTCGAATGACTCCTCGATTCTCGTATCCGTCGGGCTGGATTCAAAGGTCGTGGTGTGGTCCGGTCATACATTCGAAAAGCTGAAGACGATAGCAATCCACCAAAGTCACGTTAAAGGTATCACCTTCGACCCCGCCAACAAATACTTCGCAACGGCCAGCGATGATCGTACCGTCCGCATCTTTCGATTCACCTCTCCTGCTCCAAATTCCTCTGCCCACGACCAGATGAACAACTTTGTTCTCGAACAGACTATCACCGCTCCTTTCGCCAACTCTCCTTTGACAGCATACTTCCGTCGATGTTCGTGGTCACCAGATGGGATGCATATCGCTGCTGCAAATGCCGTAAACGGGCCTGTCAGCTCTGTGGCTATTATCAACCGTGGGTCCTGGGATGGTGATATCAATCTTATCGGCCACGAAGCGCCAGTCGAGGTTTGCTCATTCTCTCCGCGACTGTATGCAACCGAGCCACCCAACAAGAAGAAAACGGATGGCCAGGGCTCTACAGCCCAACATCACATCACTGTCATTGCCTGTGCTGGAGGAGACAAGTCCCTCAGTATTTGGATCACTAGCAACGCTCGGCCGATAGTTGTCGCCCAAGAGATGGCTGCCAAGGCGATTTCGGACCTGGCATGGACCCCCGATGGGAAGTGTCTCTTTGCTACTGCCCTAGATGGCACAATTGTGGCAGTCAGATTCGAAGATGGAGAGCTGGGATGGGCCACGGAAATGGAAGAAAATGAGAAATCGCTCACCAAGTTTGGAACGAATCGAAAGGGCGCGGGGATCACAGAAACCACGGACAGTCTGCTTCTGGAAGAAAAGAGCAAGGCAGGTGAGATCAAGGACGTTGAAGGACGAATGGGTGCCTTGATGGGCGACGCGGAGCCTACCGCAAATGGAGAAAAGGCAGCGCAACCTTCCAACGGAGCGACTCCTGCTCGTGCCTCTTCACCGGCCCCCGAGACCAACAAAGCACAGCCCAATGGAAGTGCTTCAACCCCCGCTGCGTCGGAATCTGAAAAGCCGGATCCTTACCAGGCCAAGCTGGAAAGGCTCAAGCAGCGCCCAACATACACCAAGGAAGGCAAAAAGCGCA